GAAATTCGGCTCCTCTGCACAGCTGCTGCCCCTTGTCCTGTGATCCTGGAGACTGGCTGTGGCTCTGGAGCAGTCGCCCTGAGCCTGCTGTGGAGACTGCCCCAGGTGAGTGGTTTTAAGTGTTTGTCCAGGTGCATCTCCTATAGGACAGCCCCATTGCACTTGTCTGCATCCAGCCATCGCAGGAAACTGCTGCACACTGCTGGGATTTCAGCACTGTGTGTCCCTTCTGGATGCAGGGAGGAGATGTGAGAATCACTGTCCCCTGCTGCCTGCACGAGGGACAGAGACATGGCCAGAGTGAAGATGCAAAGGTACCCGTTCTCCAGCCTTTACTCCAGCCCAGTTCTGTCATATTAATTTGAAGCTCTGGTGAGGATTGGTTTCATCCAGTATTCTGGGATTCTGGATATCTTGGATTCTGAAATCTAAGTAAGTAGCGGCAGGGCATTCCCACAGAATGTCAGCAGTTGGGATCAATGTGACAAGCAGCTGTCACGGTGCCCCAACTGCCACCCTGCTGTTTTGAAGCCTTTTGTTCCCTGATAACAGCCACTACCCTCTGCATTGAGGGAAAAGAAGCAGAAAGGGTCTGAGATCTGGGTGACTGAAGCCCTTCTGGCCTCAGATTATTGGAGTATGAGACGTGCTTGGTGAGATAGGCTGGGGAGCAGAGGGAAGAGAAGTGAAGTCAAGGGAACAATAGTTGCTTTTCCTCAGCATTGCGGATCAGTCCGTTCCTGGGTGTGAATGGGAATGGTTGTGGCTGGCCTTGGCTCTTGRAGGACAATTTAAGATTCAGTGCATAAGAATTAGAGGTTGATACCTGATTTCCTCCTCCTCCTAACCTGCTAAGGCTAACATTTGAGCTTTGTGACTTCAAGGTGTAATTGCTCTGGTTTTGAGCTCTGCTTCACGCTCTTTGCCTTGCCTGTCAGACCTCACAGACATGTCCGTCTGTCCTGTAACTGATAAGGCTCCTTGCTCAGGTAGCTGACCCAGAGGCTGCTGCATCCAGAGAAATTCCTTATTTGCCTTGATCACACAGAGTGGGTGGTAGCCACACTGACAGCTCCTGGGGTTTATCGTCCCTGTCATCCTTAGTGTTTGGGGTAGAATTTGCCCTAATGGAATATCAGGCAAAAATCCCCAAGAGCTTTTCATTTATGGGTTYAGCTGTGCCCTCTGTGGTAAGGATCAGCCTTGTGTGTGTGTGCTGGGCTCAGGCCACGAGATGGGCTCTCCTAGGAACGYTGGCCATGCGTGTCATGTACTGCCATCGTCCCCAAACACAGGGTGGTTTCTTTCAGCRTGCTTCCTCTCTGGAAACACTCAGCAACATCTGTTAAAAGCTGTTAAAGCCAAAACAAGTCTGGCTTTTGCCTGAGCTTTTGCAAGGAGGGGATGATGGAAGACCAGACAAATCCCTGTGTTGCTCCTATTGCTTAATCACATCCTTGAAGGCTCTGAATGCTTGAGCAGTGAATATGGTGTAAACTTTGTGAGGGCTCTGGGAGCAAAACTGGGCAAAAGGTGTCGTTCTAACAGCTGTGAGATGTCGGAACCTTGGCCCAAGCTCTTGTGTTACTGATGGGATGAATTCTGTCCAAGACAGAGATCAGGAGCCTAGGAATGAACTTCCTTTCACTGACATCCACCTCGAACTGTGGCCTGCCAGGCTGCTGAGTCTCGTGCTATGGGGAGCTCTGAATACGTCAGGGGATGTGAATCAGTGAGTGGGTTGTCAGCTAAGTTTTTCTTTTTTCACTTTTTCTTTTTTTCTTTTTTCACTGTCCCAGAGCTGGCTGATAGCTGTGGATAAAGAAGAAGCCGTTGTGGATCTCACCAGGGAGAATGCACAAAGGTAGAAGTCTAAACTTTTATTTATTTATTTATTTATTTATTTATTTATTTATTTATTGTAGACTGTCTCTGAGGAGGGATCAGGAATCCTCAAGGTTTGGTCACTTAATTCAAGTTTGTCATCGAAGGAAATGAGCAAATGTTTGTTTAACCAAGAAAAAAAAAAAAAAGAAGTTTACATTTACCAGAGGATTTTCTTTCCACTGGCTTGTGAATACACTTTGTGAGGACAGCAGCCTAGATAAACAGTTGGGCTCTTTGTCTCCCAAGGGTTTCCAAAGTGTTTCATGGTCTCTACCCTTAACTCTTTAATGAACTTGGGGAACCAGCCTGGAGGCAGTAAGAAGGTGTGCGGTCACTTAGGGCATTCAGGATGGGTGTAACCTGCTCCTTTCTGGCTTCCCCCRTCATTGCTGCCCTGTTTTTCTGTCACTGCAGCTGAGGAGGGGATGGGGTGTCAGGGAAGACTTGGTAGGTGCTGTTGGAGGTCAGGGAGTGATGTCTTCTGTGGGCAGTTTGGTTTCTTCTCACAGCAGGTYTTCCACAACCTTGTCCCTCCGTAGCTTTGTGAACTGCTTCCTATGCTCACGAAAGCCAGAGGTGAAAACAAGGAGAGGTGTTTTGATGAGTGAACCACACAACTGAAGCCCTGGTTCTGTTTCCCATCAACGTTTCATGCTCTCTGCCTCTGTGCCTTCTTTTATAACACGAGGCTGCCACCAAGCACCAAGTTGGAGTTCAGATTGACCTCTTTCTGTCCCAGCACCAGTAGAGGCCTTTTGTCCAGGATTCCTGTGATTTAAAATCTCCCTCCAACCACTTCCCTCTGCTGGGGAGCTTCTTCTGAAACCAACCAGGAGCTTGGGACAGCCCTACACGTGTGGGGTTTGGCTACACAGGAGCCCTGCTCTGGAGCAGCCCTGGGTGTGCAGGGTGCTCTGCTTTGAAGGCTCTTCTCCAGGGAAAGAGTAGATCCTGCCCTGGCCTTGCTGCTTGGCCTGAGAGGAGTCCAGCTCCAGCAGGATGGGAAACCCTTCGGGTGTCATGTTCTCTATTGAAAGCGCTGCTTGTTGCRTGTGTGTTCATACATCCACACGAACACATCCCTTAATCCTTCCTCTTTCTGTTCTTGCATCATCTGCAGGCTGCAGCTCCAGGACCAGATCCACATCCTGCACCACGATGTTTCATCCTGTAATTGTTTTCGTTGTTTTAATAATTCTAATTATCTTTTTTTATTTGGAGGGGAGGTGAGCATGAGAGAGAGCCAAGGCCACCCTCTGGGATGCAGGGGTAAGAAGGGGTAAGAAGTAGTACAAAATAAGATCAGTAAGAACTGAAGCACTGCCGTGCTTTTCCCTTTGGAGATTTCCAGCTGAAGAGGTCCCAAAATGCCTCAAAAATGAATTGTTCATCTTTTTAGGGGTCTAAAGGTTGTGTCTGAGCTGCTGGTCCCCATGTGCCCTCATTTGCTAAACAGAGGCAGGCATACACRCAGAGCAGTTCCCAGCGTGCTGACACAGAAGCTATAAATGAACGTGTATGTGCCTGTCTCCCCACTGATGTTACAGGCAACCTGGTAATTTAGTTTAGATTAAATGTCCAGCCTCGGGCACCTGAAGTTAGGGGAGCTGAGCGTGAGCCATCGGGTGCAGAGTAGGGTGCCTCTGGTCTTGGCAGCACCACTTAAAGCTGCCACTTGCTGAGGTGTCTCTGGCTATGCAGTTTATCCCAGGTTGTCCAGGAGCTGCAGGTTTTACTGCACCACGCCAGCTCTGAGGGGGTTTAGACACACGTTAGGATTGTGTCCACAGATCTGGGCTTGCGCTGCCCTTGCTGCAATTAAACAGCTCTGGTGCAAACACTGGCTAGCTCTGTTGTCACCACAGCTGTCAGCAGACACGCGTGCACACAAGTCTGGAAGGAAGCATTGTTTTCTGGAGAGGATTTCAACAAGGAACTTTGAGGGAGGTTGTTATAGGTGAGAGGTGGTTGTGATTCCCTTTCTTCTTTAGGTTCTGCCAAGCAGCTGCTGCCTTGGAGCCCTGTAGACTTCATAGTCAGTAAATTGTCCTATGCCTTCCATGAAGACATGGCAACCCTGGCTCCAAAGACCTTCTGGTGAGTAGGCAAATAATATTCCCTTACCTGGTTCTTTCTAGCAAGGTTTTAGTGCTGTTTCTTCATAACATGCACACACATGTGCATCCATGTAGTGCTTGTGGTATAGTGTACGTATGTATGTAKTACATATGCTACATATATAGTAGCATAGTGTTGCTTTAATACTATTGACAGGCCCTGAAAAATGAAAATATGTTTTTTATAAAAATGAAAACAGCCCACACTTTTAAATGACCCAGTTTCCCATCCAAAATTGCTGTTTTGAAACAGTTTTCCCATTGAGCATTTTCATTATAGTTGATACGAGCTTATGAAAGTGTAATTAATCTGAGCAACTTTCTTTGGTGATGGAAAAAACCTGGATGGAAACGCTGTGACCTGTTCTTGTCACAAGCCTTCCCTTAAACAAACCCCTGCGAACTGGAATGTGCTTTGGGGGGATCTGGAACTTCTCCGTGCGCCGCTCTTCCTCAGCGCTGGCCGCTGTGCACGTGGGGACAGAGTCCTGTGCCCACCCCATGCACGACGTGCCCCAAAGCAGATTCGGTCCTTGAAACTGGCTCAACTCCCCACCTCCCAGTTTGGTCTGCTGCCTTAGAMGACAGTCGAACGTCGTTGTTGGCACTGCCAGCATAAGGCAAGTGATCCCTTGTAGGATCCCCCCTCTCCTCCTCTGTCCAAGTAGCGTAGGGAGAACATGTCCATGGCCAGGCAGCAGTTGGCTTGTGTTTTCCAAGAAGACTTCAAGGGTGTTTTATGCTTGTGCTCAGCTTGGAGTTGTCAGCCTAGAAGCAGCTTTTTATTCTGCCCTGTACTTACTGTAAAAGCCACAAGGGTGCTCTCAGCCGCTGTGAGTGGCAGAGCTCGGGCATGTTGGATCCACGGAGCAAGGCAATGCCAGTTATTCCATTTGGGAAATGTATCCTCCAAGATGTGGATCATATCACGTGCATTCACTGTCAATGTCTCCTTTTRCCCAAACCTTAGCTGCGAGGACCTCGATGCGCTGGATGGGGGACACGACGACGTGAGAGTCATCACAACAATTCTGGCTCTGGCTCCTCCTCTCCTGAAGGACTCAGGGTAAGCGTTGCCCTCTCTGAACTTCATGTCTACTCTCTATMCACTTCTCTAACTTCCATTTTCTTTTTCATACTGAGGGAAAACAAAAGAAGAGCTTCCCTACCTCTAGTAAGTTAAACATGCCAGAAGTACAAGCAAGAATTAGCTTGAGTTGGGGTGTGCACCACTGGTATGGACCTTCCTTGAGCCGTAGTTTTTCATAGATCTTAAAAGAGTGAGAAGTTGTAAAGGTCAAAACAGAAGGAAGATAGAGGACAGCAGCAGAGAAAGGGGACACAGAAGAGGAAAATTTCTAAGCAGAATAAGTCATTGAGGGAGAAGTGATACAGGATGTAGAGCTCTGTGAGAATGGATGTAGATCTCCGCTTTCCTCCCACCCTTTAATTAGGAAAACTTGAAAACTGTGCCAGCACACAGTGCTGAATATCCCAAGAGAAACAAAARATTCATCCAGGGATAGCTTCTTAAATGATAAATTTCTCTGTGATTAGTGCTCTCCACTGACTGTTCCTGTTCCCTGCCAYGTGGGATCCATTTTGTGCTCAGAGACATGTGCACAGATACTTGGGACGCCCAGACCTTTTTTATTTTTTTTTTTCCAAGGGCATTCACACACCCTGCTGAAAAGCCCTAACTTTTCAGCAGCTTAAGAGAGTCACTAGAAATCGACTGTTTTGAGAAGAGGAAGGGTATTAGTGGGCAGCACAGCACTTGACAGGAATTTGTTCTCTGTGCTTTGCGTGACCGCAGGAGCACAAAGGCCTCAGGGCTCACCAGCAGTGGAGATCTGTCCCCTGGGCTTACTTGTTAGCATTATAGTTCTTTCCCTTGTCGCTTTTAGTATTATGTCCAGCTGCCATTGAGGAGTGGGAGGTTTTTTAAGGTCAGGAATGAGATCCTTGCCCAGCTTGTAATTAGTTTGGGGGATTTATGGGGAGCGCTCAGTGTGGGACATTTTAGGAACCCTCAGGGGAGCATATGGCTGGGGCTTGGCCTGTTTTTTTGCCTATTAAGCTTATATTTTGCTATCCAGTCACAAGCTGCAACCAGATCCATGTGCTCCATGTGCCTGTAAGCTGGGGTGGRTCTGGCTTGTGGCAGGAGTGAGACTCAGAATGAGCCATTGTCACCCAGCCTGACGGCAGCAGGAACAACCCAGAACTGGTCCAATAAATGCGGCTACAATCCTGTATATAGGACTGAATGGCCTGAATCCTAGGAGTGCTTTTGTAACTGATTTATGGGGACATTTATTATATGGAAAAAATGTGTACTAAGTTATATTGTATGAGTCTCAGTACTGGGACTAAATGTTATCCTGCTTATGCAAAGAGGGACTTCATACTGCCAGCGTTCATGCATTTGCATCCTGAAACTTCATTCTGGCTCTTCCTGAGCAGCCCGTTTCACCGTAAATTTTGGGGGGGGCTCAGCAAGGCTGRGCAGACGACTTTCCTGCGTGGGGTTCAGAAGCTGGGATCCTTACATCTCAATGCCAGGATTAACTGCTCACACAGAGGAACACCATGAAAATTGCTCTTAGGATAAACCTTCTCAGTAAAGGAAGCAGATGGAATTTGAATCTTAAATGGACAGCTGGGATCTGTTTTGGGATCATTGGATTRCAGTGTGCTTCCTGATCATCTCATTTCCTACACAGACAGGAATCATCCAGGGAAGGAAGAYCTTATTTTCTCTCAGCTTGGCAAATTAACTGTATGTATCTTCCCACTCTCTATTCCCCTGCGTGTCCCTTCAGGAGTGTGTTTCCGGAATTTGATCCCGGACACCCAGGGATGGTGGAGAACTGGCTACGGAGACACCCCAAATTGCTACTCACTCTTTGTGCTGTCCACAAGGACTTCTGTGGCAAGTAAGTCTCTTCTACCTTCAGACTTTTACTTCTCTGTATATTCTGTGTACTGTCCCTTACGTCCCAATATCTTGAATGAAACTCAGCCAGAGCATGTAAGCAGCTGAAGGCAGCCATTTCCAAAGTGAGGACTTGCTTCAAGTATCTCACCATTATTCTTTTATATCCTGAGATAAATAGACAAGTGTTTCAGGGTTAGAAATGCTGGCAGGCAAGTGTAAATAGACAAGTGTTTCAGGGTTAGAAATGCTGGCAGGCAAGTGTTTATGATGGGTTGGTTAACTCTGGTGAGATTCTTCCATGGAAAACTGCTGTTCTACATGATGGAGGTAGAATCATCTTCTCCCCAGTGCTCTATTCATGCTTTTCCCCACAGGCCTAGGTTTCTGCACATCCAAAAACAAGGCAGCTGACAACTGTGCCTGAAATGAATATTCCGTGCAGTATTCTTCTTGCTGGTGAGCCCTGCTGGACCYGCCTGTTGAAAACGGTGGGGCAGAAGGACTCTCCACTGCATTTCCCAGTGCTCTGACCTCTCCAGACACCTCGTTTCCTGTTATGGGCTTCATCTGAAGCTGCAGAGGATGGACAGGGGACAACTAAGATAGAAGCACGTGGGAGTGTTTCACCTTCCCCAGAGAACTGCATGCACCTTTAGCTCTGTGCTGAAGTGACTTGCTAATCTCAGAACCGAAGTGGAAGAGTTCACAGTTCTAGTTATTTCATCGTATTTCTAGGACGACAAATTCAAAGAAATACTTAAAAATACAACTTCTCAGCACATCAGATGACGCATTTGACCTAGAAGTAATTGTGCATTTTTTTTTTGTTCTGTTTTTGCCTGAAGAGAAATCTTAAGGAGAAACAACCAGACTATATGACAGGTCCAAACTGTGGCTCCTCAAGGTGTATAGTTGTGTGGGTTGARCGGGACATGACTAATCTGCACGCTGCACATTCAGTTTTGTTCCAGGATCCTGATRCTCTGCACTAGTAGGGCAGCCCAGTCCCATTGAGTGGGGTGTCATTAAAGGATCAATGTGCATGTTACACCATAACTGCTTGGGAGAGGCAGTTTTGCAGCTCAGATAAAGTGATTTTGAGGTGGACCTGGAAAGAGATCAGACCAGAATTTACCCATACGTTTGCMCCTTCTTTGGGGATATTCTTGTTTGATCTAGAACGGAAAAGCCTCCTATCTGCACAGCAGTGGGTCACAGCTGGAAAAGCACCTTCCTATCATGTGTTTTCTTTCCAGATTCCCAGCTGTGTAGGTCGCTGACTCGAGAGGAAGGAAGGAAGGAGCTCTCTTGGTATTGTTAAAGCTAGCTGAATGTACAGCACCTACCATGCAGCGGATGCTGCCAGAGACAAACAGTACATCCTAATAAAGATAGTGCTTCAGGTAGGCCAAATGAGGTCTCAGATCGGTGCTCTTTGCAAGAACTGCTGTGCAATCGTGTTCTCAAATGTGCTGCCAGAGCTGAATAAACACCTGGGATCCATACATAGCTTCTGATAATAACACTAGCTTCTACCTCAGGCATTTAAACTAAAGCTTTATAAAGGAGGTCAGTRGCACTGCCCTGTTTCACAGCTGGAGAAATCGAAGAAAGGAGGTGAAATGACTTGTGCAAAATGCAGCAGCTGGCTTAGTTTGGGATAGGTACCAGACTCTTGTCAGCCGTGGAAGTAGCTGAGGTCTCGTTCTTTGTCTGGGAAAGATGACTCGCAGTTGATACCGAGAGCAAACCTGAGAGCAGCTCCTGAAATGGACAGTCAAGATCATGACATTAAAAGCAATGGAATGATTAAACTCAAGCTGCTGCTTTTGGCAGCTGCTGCTTCCCAGCGTGGCGAGTTCCTTGGCTGACCAAAGCTAACCAGAGAAGGAAGGAGAGCAACCAGAGMACAGGACCCGATGACCAGCTCCGAGTGGAAGCGCTTGCTGGGCCAGCGGAGGTGAGCTTGCACCAGGGGGATGGAGGTGTTCAGATAACAGCCTTTGCTGTCTCCGAGCGTGCCAGGGAGAAGCTGCCAGGCCTTGCACCAGGCTGAGCTGAGAGGGCATGGCCAGAAGCACAGGCTGGGAGCTTTCCTAGCAGGAACAGCAGCTGGCTGCTGGGGAAGCTGCAGCGAGTGCTGAGGGCCTTCGCCTGAGCAGCCCTTTCCCCTCTGCCCCTCACACTGGCTCCTGTTTTTCCCTTCACCTGCCAGCAGGCRAATTTCCCTTTGGATCCTCTCCCCATGCCTTGAGGTTTTACCCTTCTGCTCCCACCTCATCCGTTCTCCTCATTCCAGTGCTTTCGGCGTTGCCCTGGTGCCAGGGAGTTTGCTAGGGCCGTGCTCGGCCTCACGCTGGGGCTGCACTGCCTGGCCTGGGCAAACACACCCAAGGGAGCGGAGAGAAGGGGAGAGCCAAAGACTTGGTTCAGTTACTGTGAAGCTCCTCCAGCTTTGCAAATAAACTTCCAGCACAGCTAATTTCTTGCAGCTTTGTTTGCCAGAGTGGTGAGTACAAATTGTTATCAAAGAAGGTTTTGCTGTTCTTTTTTTTTTTTTCTAAATTATTTTTTAAATAATAATTTTCAAGTCTTTTTTTTTCCCTAAGCTTTCTCTTTGTCGGTCTTGAGTTATTAAACTTGTTTTTAAACAGTTCTACCATTTCATCTCAGCATTGCCAGTACTTGCGAAGCCCAGAGCAGCAAGCACAGCTTATCCTGCAGGGTATTTAAAAGGCTGGGTAAWTAACTGGTTCATGAGAGTGTTAAATGGCATCATGTTGCATCCTCCAAGGGGATGGAGGCTGTGCTGTTGTTGGAGGGCAGCAGGTATTTCCCCTGAAGCATCATCCCTGTGCACAGGGGCCTCAGAAGGACATTTTCTCCCTCACATGGACTCCTGGCCTCACCAGGCAGGGCAAGTGTTAAATTCCTATATTTTTCACTAAAGCAATAATACAAATGCTTGCGTTTCGGGGGGTTGTGCTGTGGAGGGGTTACGTGCCTGGGGAAATCCTGTGTTCCTGCTGGCCGCCTCCTGAAGACAAAGAGTGGAGAAGAATCTTTCCTCCTCCCCAGAGGCCAGGTTTATTCCTCAGCTTCCCATCCAAAGGAACGTCCTGGCATGGGACAGCTTGTTCTTTAGCACTTTCTGCATGTTGGCCTTAGCCCATTTTGGTGCAGAAAGGCTGCAGAGCTTTTTGGATGTGGTAATTTGAAGGGCAGCCCCAAGGTCCTTGTTTGCTCGTGGGCTGGCTCTGTTGTTTGCGAGGAGAGATTCTGCTGCGCCACTGAAATGCTCAGCCCTCTGCAGAGGGTGCAGCTCTCTCTGAGGCTGCAGAAGGCTGCAGAAAGCTTGGACAAAATCAAGTCTCTGCCATGCACTTTGTGTTCTGGGACCTTACAGGGCCTTTGGAACAGTGTCACAAAGGTGTTTTGCTCCCTGGAGTTGCAGGGGGGCTCTGTTTTCCTGCAGAACCCTGAAGAGCGAGTCCATGCAGGTATTTTGGAGAGTTCCCAGTTGAGGAGCCTGCGAGCCGGCCTTGGCCATGCTGAGGAGGAAGAGAAGGAGGAGGAGGAGGAGGGTGCCCGCTCTTGGGCACCCTGTGGGTGGTGCTGTGCTCCCTTGGGCATGGCTGGAGACCTTGGCACGAGCATAGGAAGAGAAAGAGTGAGAAAACGTGGCCAGCAGAAGACTTCAGCACAGGTGCAACTTTAGCCTCTCTTACTGTACTAATAAAACAGAGCTTCAGCACAGCCTGCAGCAAGGGAAACTGCAAGAGAACCTTGTGCTTGTGGTACAGGTTGTGGGTGTGTAATAGGAAGCCTGAAGCCCCTTTGGAGCTGTGGACGTGTTTGTGGACATCTCTGGGATGCTGAAGGACAGAGTAACCTTGCTGCTCCGGTGTAATTTCCCTGTGAGTGTCTAGTCTCTCTTGCTGCCTTTGGAGCCAGTTTCTTGCGGTCCTCTCCTGATGCAGGACACATCTGGCTCTCTCTTCTAACAACTTTCATCTGTTAGAAGTCTGTTACCGTGTTGCAGTCTTCATTTTAGAGGAAAAACACTCCTCACCTTAAGTATTGTGTGTTACTTTTGCAGGCTCCTCAAATGCCATTTCCTCCCTTCCTGAAGGGGACAAAGGGGCACCAGGTGTGATGAAGGTTGGTGCCCTTCCCATGTGCTGTGAGAGACCCATACGGGTGGCACGAGTACCAGGACAGGACAGGAGCTCCAAGGACACACTCAGTTGTGCCCCGGCTGCAGAATCAGACCTGTAAGCAGCTTCCCCCCTGCTCTGCACTCACCTTGGGGCTGTGCTCGATGGGCTTGGGCTGCCATGCCCAGGGTTCAGCGTGGGCAACTGAACCGCTCCCAAGATTGGCCCTCCCTTGGGCAGTCTCGTGATGTCCCCCATGGGTAGGCAGCATCTTGCAGGACAGGAACCAGTATGATCTACCCATATAGTGTTTTGTTCACTTGAGTGCAGAGAAAGATTGTGAGGTTCACAGGGGGTGCACGTGATGACAAGGCGATGTCAAGATGATGACAAGAGGAGCCCCAGAGAGAACCAAAAGCAGGTGCAACTTGTAGTTTCTTACTTTCTTCTCCATCATTGCCCCRTCGGAGGCAAGCAGGCTGTTCTACTTTGCTTCCCTGAGGAATTTTAATGTTGTATCTGTTAGAGATTTGCCAGTGGTTGGGTCCTGGATTGGGATTTAGCAGACTTGGATTCAGATCCTTGCTGTGTGACAAACTCTGTGCATGACCTTGATTGTGTTATTGCTTAGTGTTTCCTGCTTGCAAGGCTGGGATAATGTCACTTCCCTCACAGGAGTGCTCAGTTACTGCAGAAAGCACTGAGACACCCTGTCCTTCGGTCACATCCAGACAGAGCAAAAAAAAAAAAWAGCCAAATCTTATTAAATAAACGCATCTCAGCAGCAGCTTGGGCAGGGCGCAGCGTCCTGCTGCAGCATGAGGCTTGTTCCACTCATCTCCAGCGATACCAGAGCGCAGCCAAAGGATGTGGGAAGGAGCCAAGGTGCCAGCAGTAGCTTTTCTGCAGCAGCCCGAGGAGACGTGAGCTGCAGGCAGAGCAGCCTGGGTGGAGAGCAAGGCAACCACACGTTGCAGCCTTGATGGTTGGGCTGGCTTGCTCACTGTGACCTTGTGGAAAGGGCAGCCCGGAGGGTCTATTCCCAGCTCCGTTGTCTGCTCCCTTCACCAGCAAACCGGAGCTGTTGCTCTTTCGGGCACAACAGGCAGCGTCTCAGCAGCAGCCACCCAGTCCCTGTTACGGTGACGACCATGGCTGCGTGAGCAAAGTCACTGCAGGACAGAGGGTAGTGATCATAGAGCAACTGCGTGTGAACGAGCTGCTGCGTGAGAAAACAGCCCCGTGGTCCCGTCAGCGCCGCTCTGGATCGCACTTGCTTCGAAGAGCTGCGTGGGTAGTGCTGGGCTGTATGTTTTGGGCAGCAGAGATGGTCTGAGGTGATGCTGTCCGTGGTGGCGAGAGTCAGGAGACCGAGTAGAGATTTTAGGTTTGAATTTGCAGCACTGCAAAGGGTGTCACCCAAGTACTCAAGGCCAGACGAGGCACAGCAAAGGAGGAGCCTTGGCAGAGCTGCAGACAGTCATCAGTGCTCTTAATAGCAGTCCTGGCAGCCTAGCCCTGGTGCTTTCTCCCTTCACCTCTTGTGGCCCTCTTAAGTAATATGTTCATATGGCCACTCCGGCTGCTGCCGGGGAGGACGATGATGCCTCCAAGGCAGGAGGCTGTCGTTACTGCTTTGCCCTTTGCAAAGGGAGAGCGTGACCAGAGAAAGGCTGGGCTTGGAGAGCCTTGGTCTGGAGCACAAGGGCAGTTTGCACAGTTTGCAGCTCTAGCACAGCCACTGCTAAATGTTCCAGGACACAAATGAACACAAATAGGGCTGAAGTGATGGAGCCAGGGCGGGGGACTGGTGACGCAACCAGCAAGCTCTGTAAGGGGCTATGTACTTTGGGCATCTTAACCTGTTCATTTTAGAGAGTGACTGGAGCCCCTTCTCCAATGTGGATGGTCTTATGGGCCTCAACTCCATAGGGAATGGAGGAGCAACAGAGCACGGCTCTCGGAGGAGCCTTCTTTTTCTTTTATTTTGGTAAACACTGCACAGTTAGATGTTAGCTGTCCCCAGCAGCACAGGGGTAGCATGACTCTGATTTTAGTCGTGAGCAATTCTTCTATGGGAAGATCTTGATTTCTGGCTTATGCTAACTGCTGTCTTCAGTTTTTGCTCCTCACCTGTCTCTTCTTCATTTGCAAGTAGTTTTTGCCTGCTGTGTGCGGTAGGTAAGTCGTAGCACAGACACTGGGGCACAATATTTTGGGGTCGAGAGCATCGTGCCTGCTGCAGGGGACTCCTCACCTGGCAGCCTAGTGAGCCCTCAAGCAGCACCACTAGACAAGCAGCTTCTGCTGTTGAAATCCTCCCTGCTGGAAATMTTTGGCCAAGACCATGTAGAACATCGGCACGACTGCTGGGATTGTTACAAAACTTCCTGCCGGGTGCTTGGCTTATGATTAATTAGCTGGGTTTGCAGAGTGCTTTGATGTTCCAGCGCCAGAGTAAGCAATTGCA